ACAATTACATCACTCCTCTCCTTATTTACAGGTCTTCTTTTTTGCTTTACAGGTCGGAATGATGGGTCGATGTTGAGGCGATGCACCATAATCTTTGGGTCGATGCCTGRCATGTCCTCGTGAGACCATGCGAAGACGTCCGAGTTGGACCTGAGGAAGTTGATCAGCTCTTCCCTATCAGTGGCCCCAACTTGGTTCCTATGCTTACTTGTTTTTCAAGGCTAAGTAAGGGAACAAGCTCGAGCTCCTCTGTTGGTGGGGAGAACTGCCTTTTGCCTTCTCTCGGAAGGTCGTCCTGACTGGTTTGCTCTTCCAGGGCACATACTGACGATCCTTTGAGCGCAGATGAGTAACACTCCCTTGAAGTTTTTTGCTCACCTCGGACCGTGCCGACTCTATTAGGGGTTGAGTACTTCATGACTTGATGCAGTGTGGAGGGGACGGCCCGGAATGAGTGGATGATGGGTGTCCCGAAGATGGCGTTGTAAGCCGACCTGCCATCGATCACTACGAACTTAGCCATCTGCGTTACTTGGGTAGTATCTTGTCCGATCGTGACCGGTAGATCGATACACCCTTCAAGGGAGACCGATTCTCCAGAGAATCCAACCAAAGGTGTTGGACTTTTCTTCAACTGAGACCTGGTCCACCCCAAGGCAAGATATGTCGGGAGGGACAGGATGTTGGCAGACGTGCCTCCATCTATCAACACTCTTCTGACCAGGACATGATCGATCAGAGGGGCGATCACAAGTGCATCATTATGGGGCAAGTGGACCCCCTCCAGGTCGGCATCGCCGAAGGTGATGGAGCAAGTAGGTTTCTAYTCCCTGATGATGCATACCTCGCACCTGGCCTCGCGAGCTAGCACTTTCCTTTTGTTTCCGGACTGGCCCCCACTTTGGCCTCCGAAAATAGTGTTGATGACCGCAGGTCGGTCCTCTCGTTGAGGCGGCATTCTTGAATGCTTCCTCTCTTCTTTCTTTTCGACCGAGTTAGACCTCGGTTTACCCACGAACTTTTTGAAGTAGCCATCTTGAATGAGGTCTTCAATCTGACGCTTCAGCTCCCAGCAACTTGTCGTGTTATGGCCGTGATCGCGATGAAAAC